CTGTTCCCAGAGCCTTCTGTTCAGAAGCCCACTTTGCTTTCACAGAATCCCCTGAGATGGGAGCTGTGGCGGGTCCCCTTTACAGAAGGGGAAACCGAGTCAGAGAGAGGCAAGGTCACTTGCTCGAGCAGAGGCAGGGTTGGCATTGGACCCGGGGACGGGTCCAGAGTCCACCGCTGACCTACTACACTGTACCTTCGACAGCTTCTCCTGTTCCACTCCCAGTCCAAGTTGTGCCACAGAAGACAGCCACTGGGTGTCACTGATGCTAATGGGGGACAATTATCCATGGGTCTCTAATATCTGCACATCTCACAAGCAGGGTGTGGAGGCTTTGGCTCCAGCTGTCCTTTCAAGGATGTTTGTAGAGCAAACAGCACTGGAGGATAGAGAGAGGTTCTTCCTGTGGAGCAGAGAGGTTTGTCTGCTCTCCGTAGAATCAAGGTGAGTCTCCCTCCCATAGGGGTAGGGCAGGTTGGATTGGGTCCACTATAAAAATTGGGATTTCTAAGCTTGAAGCTTTTGGCTGTGGAACAAACCTGTGTGAGTCTTTGGAAGCACCAGCTTAAACACAAAACTCACACTGCTTTCTGTGCCTCAGTTATAAAGTCCCTTTTTCTCTGACCCTGGTGTCCCCTGCTTTCTGCCAGCATCCATGAAATTGTAGGGTTTAAACTGTCAGCTTACAAGTAGGGTAAAATCTCAAACTGTGGGGGTCCACTTCCACTACTATAACAAAACACCCAAGGCTGGGTAACTTTATGAGGAAAGAAGGTTTATTTAGCTCACAGTGCTGGAAGTAAAAGGCATTAGCTCAGCTCTAGTGAGGACTTACGCAGGATGATGTTACAAAGGCAGGGAGGGGCACACACCAAGAATAAGAGGTCACACAGCCCCAGACGGAAAGCAGCCAGTGATTCAGGGCTCAGGCTCATTCTTAAGACAACCTTCTCTTGGGAGAAACGACTCTAGGTTCCAGAAGAAACACCCTAGGCCCCAGCAACCTGAAGTCCTCCCACTCAGGCCCAGCACCACGCTGGGGATGGGACGTGAGCCCCGGGGAGACAAACCACACCCCAACCACAGCATAGACCTTTCACAGTTCTGGGATGCCAGCTGTCACCAAGTTGTCGCTACTGGGACAGTGGATTTGGTCTGTTTTGGTCCCACCTCTGCTGCAAGCTACAGGTACCGAGTGGGGCAGCAGAGTTAGCAGTGCCTAGGTTGAAATATCAGCCTCAGCCGGGTGTGGGGGCACTCGCTTGCCATCCCAGCGGCTCGGGAGGCTGAGACAGGAGGATCGTGGGTTCAAAGCCAGCCTCAGTGAAAGCGAGGCCCTAAGCAACTCAGTGAGACCCTGTCTCCAAATAACATACAAAATAGGGCTGGAGTGTGGCTCAGTGGTTGAGTGCCCCTGAGATCAACCCCTGGTACCCCCCTTAAAAATGATTAAAATGGTTAACTGTATAAAGTATAAATAAAATATGTATATCTATGTATTTTATAATGTAAAAAAGTAGCAAAAATACAACTAAAAGCATTTGTTGAACACTCACTCTATGCTAGGCACTGAGTGTTTTAGTAGCACTGTCTCGGGGTTTACAAATGCTGGCTGTTCCCACATCACCTCCGACTTTTGTCCATGTCTTACTTTGGGTTTCCCCCAAACAAGGGAAGTGGTCCCAGAAAGAACGGTGAGGGCCTAGGGAAAGGGGGCGGGAGGGGAGACACATTCATGAAGGGAAACCCGCACTTGGCCTCCTGTGGAATCTTCTGAGCAACTGATGCAGGATTCCTCAAAGTCATCCTACTGAAGTGTTTAGGGGACTGGAAGGAATTGCCCACCAATTGTTTTTTAATTAATTAATTTATTTTTTAGTTTTTGGTGGACACATCTTTATTTTATTTGTATGTGGTGCTGAGGATTGAACCTAGCGTCCCGCGCATGCCAGGCGAGCGCGCTACTGCTTGAGCCACATCCCCAGCCCTGCCCACAAATTCTTGGCCTTCAGTGGTTGACAGTTGTGCCTTAACCTATTTTCTGTTCCTGTAAGGATCTTCCTGGATCATTAATAAAGGAAAGAGGCTTCCTTTGCCTCGTGGTCCCAAGGAGGGGAAGTCCAACAGGGTGCAGTCAGTTTTCCATCACTATAACAAAGTACGGGAGATAGCGAATTTTATAAAGAGAAAAGGTTATTTGGGCTCACAATTCGGAGGTTCCAGTAATGATCCATTGATCCCATTGTTTGGGGCCTGTGGCAAGGCAGCACATCGTGGTGGCAGCATGTGGCCGAGCAAAATCCCTCACCTCATCAGCCAGGAAGCCAAAAGGAGGAAGGAGAAGGGGCTGGGTCCCTTGGTTCCTCTTGAGGGACTGGCGCTGCTTCGCTCATGGTGGAGCGTGGAAGGGCACTGGCACGTGGTGTGCAGAAGAGACAATGCGACAGGCGGCTCGATTCCTAACAGCCCGCTCCTGCAGCCCCTGATCCAGCCTGGCGCTCGAGATCCCCAGCGGCCTGTGCTGAGGCTGTACCTGTCTGTCTGCCAAAGCTACCATCACTTACTCAATGTTTTTTTTCCCTTTAAATATATCATTTTTTAAAAAATGTAAAATAGGGCTGGGGTTGTAGCTCGGTGGCAGAGTGCCTGCCTGGCACTCCTAGCCTTGGGTTCCGTCCCAGCCCTGCAAAAATAGACATGAATGTGTGACTCTGTAGCTACGTTATATTCTCCTTCAGTCTCCCTTGAGGTGAGACAGTGTTGGTGACTGAGTTTTCACCTGTGGAGGGTGAATGCAAATTCCGTGTGTCCTTCTGGGGGAGACTTAGCTCCTCCGGCTCCCATTTCCCCCTACAGTTGACACCCTTGTCCCTGGGTGATACGGTCTAAGAAATCCCTGCCCCTGTGGATTCTGGAAGCCACCGATAGTACTGGGCCTTCTGTATCCTATGTTTTCCCTACACCTACCTAATTATGATAAAGTTTAATTTATACATTAAGCATGAGAATAACAATAACTAATGATAAAATAGAATAATTATAACAATATCCTGTAGAAAAAAGTTATATGAATGTGGCCTCTCTCAAAATATCCTGTTATGCTGTACTCACCCTTCTTGGGATGATGTGACAATGTGTACATGGTGATGTGAAATAAGGCAAATGACATAGGCATTATGACATAGCATAGGGTTACTATGTAAGGGTTATTTCAACATAAGGACTATGATATAGGGACACTCTATCTGAAACCAAGATGGCTGCCAGGTAACTAATGGGTGGGTAGCATATACAGCCTGTATACACTGGACATAGGGATAATTCATGTCCTGGGTGGGATGGCTTGAGAAGTCATCATGTTACCTAGAATACCATGCAGTTGGCAACTTACAAATTATTTATTTCTGGAAATTTCCATTTAATCCTTACAGACTGTGGTTGAGTGTGCATAATTGAAGCTACAGTGTGCAAAACTGTGGATGAGAGAGCTGAGCACAGAGGTGTGTGCCTGAAATTCCAGTGGCCTGAGAGGCTGAGGCAGGAGGATTGCAAGTTTAAAGCCAGCCTCAGGAACTTAGTAAGATCCTGTCTAATATAAAAAGTGAAAGGTGCTGGGGAGGTAGCTCTGGGTTTGGTCCTCTGCACTACAGACAAAGCAACAACAACCACAAACTGTGGATGAGGGAAGACCTGTTGAACACAGGAACATAGACAGGCCTGCGACCCAGCTTGCAGACAAGGCGATGCCTTAGGTTTGCTAACGACAGAAAATGGAAGCAACTTAGAACCGGGCTATGGTTTGAATAAGTCACCCCAAAAGCATGTATTGGAAATTTAATCCCCAGTGTTTGGGGAGGTGGGGCCTAACGAGAGGCAATTAGATCTCAAAGGTGGAGCGAATAAGTGAATGCCGGTTATTGCAGGAGCGGCTTTATCATTGTGAGAGTGGATTTATTACAAAGAGGAGTTCAGTTCCCTTTTATTCTCTCTCCCTTTTACCCTTTCTCCTCCACAGGATGAGGCATTGAGGGGGCCCTTGTCCTGGACTTCCCAGCCTCCAGAACAGTGAGGATATACGTTTTGTTATAGCAGCCCTGGCAAACTGATACGGCAAGAAGGCCATTCATTCTAACTGGTACAGAGGTTGGTACCAAAAGTGGGGTGTTTGCCTTATGAAAATGGCTGCATTAGCTTAGTGGCCAGGAGGCAAAGACATCAGCATTGCAGACTGTCAAGCTGGGGACCATTGCCACACCAAAGAACATTTGGAAAGACCATCACCTGCGAATAGCTGTAGAGCTGGCCATGTGTCCTCCTAGTCTGTGCTTCTAGAATGATTAGAAAGAAAAAGAGATGTCAGCTGCTTTTTGCTGCTTTTGGAAAACCATGACAAGAAATAGAGAGTCTTAGCAAGAACTGGCCACCTCTCAGAGTCGTAAAATCACAGGATTGGATGAGCCAAAGGGTTTCTGCCTCTCAGGCAGTAACAGCGGGGCTCTTGCCATCTTCCCAAGGCTATTGATTCAGAGAACCTCAAGTAGCATCTGTCTCCTGAGAGTGACAAAGGCGTGGTAGTTCAAGGAATTAAACAGACTCAGGACTCAGCTAGCAAAGAGCAAAGAGCACCCGCTGTGTTCCCGGCAGTGGATGGACCAGAAGCAGCGGGGCCAGAGTTCTGCTCAGGTTTTTCAAGGATCTATGTTGCTATAGAAACAGAATCCAGAGCAGGACTTGAATCCTGGCCTCTCTGGTTTCCGGGTTCATTTAAAACCCTGGGCGTTCTCCAGGCTGGAGTGTAGACTCCAGGGCCAGGGATTTGTTCATTTCTCCTGCATCCTATCCCATGACAGAGCATCTCGAGCAGAATAGATGCTCTGTAAGCAGGTGTTGGGGGAATAAAAAAAAATAATAACAATAGAAAGCAATGTGAAGGCAACATTTAAGATTGGGAGGTTTAGGACAGGGGGCATATGTGGCTCCTGGACCTCCCACCCCTCCAGTCATTTAATAAAACCCGGCTTCCTGCTGATGAGGGCCCCCAAGGCTCCCTTCATGTCGCTGTTGCGCAGGCTGTAGATGAAGGGGTTCAGCATGGGGGTGACCACGGTGTACATCACTGCAGCAGCCGTGTCCTTCTGGGCCGTGTGGGAGGACATGGGGCTGAAGTAAACCCCAATGAGTGTCCCGTAGAACAGGGTCACCACAGACAGATGAGAGCCACAGGTGGAGAAGGCCTTGCGTTTTCCGCCTGCGGACGGGACCCTCAGCACGGCCGCTGCGATGCGCGTGTAGGAGACCAGGATGCCCGCGAAGGGCACGATGATGGGCAGGGCGCCCACCGTGTCCACCAGCACCTGGTTGAGGAAGGTGTCGGAGCAGGCCAGCTTCAGCAGGGGGCTGAGATCGCAGAAGAAGTGGGGGACCTGGTTGTGGGTGCAGAAAGAGAGGCGGGTCAGGAGGACCGTGTGGGTCAGGGCGTTCCCGAAGGCGGCTGTCCAAGACATGGCCACCAGGAGGCCGCAGAGCCGGGGGGTGACGGTCGTGGCGTAATGCAGAGGGTGACAGATGGCCGCGTAGCGGTCATAGGCCATGGCGGTCAGCAGGAAGCTGTCGATGCCGGCGAACCAGATGAAGAAGAACATCTGGGTCAGGCAGCCGGAGTAGGGGATCCCCCTGCGTCCTGACGCGTGGTTGGCCAGCATCTTGGGGACGGTGGTGGAGGTGAAGCAGACGTCCACGGAGGCCAGGTTGGCCAGGAAGAAGTACATGGGCGTGTGCAGCCGGGGGTCGGCGACGATGGCCAGGATGATGAGCAGGTTCCCCAGCCCCGTGACCAGGTACATGGACAGGAAGGCGATGAACAGGAGCCGCCGCTGCCTGGGGTCCTCCGAGAGGCCCAGGAGCAGGAACTCGGGGACCCAGGTGAGGTTGGCTCCTTCCATGACGCCCCTGGACGATCAGCAAGGGAGGGGAGCTGTCCGTGGTGCCGACCCGGGTCAGCCCCCTGTCCCCCAGGTGTCCCCCAGGTCCCGCCCTCTGGTGGGTGCAGATATTCAACAGATCCCTCCGCCACCCCCGCAGCAGATCCCCCTCCCCCGCCCGCCGGCTCCATCCTCAGCAGAAAACACCGGGTGGACACTGTTCATCCCAGCGCCCGCTCACGGGATGTCGCCTACAGCTTGGGGGACAACTCCATGCCACTGACCATTTCTTACGGCCACCGCCTCCCCCTCTGTGCGCAAGGCTCCATCTGGCCGCAGGGGCAGGCTGAGCCTGTGTCCACCCTAAAGTGGAAGTCCTGGGACCAGACACCCCCAGGAGTGTCACTCCGCTGATGAGGGACAGGGCTCATGGTTGAATCCCGTTTCCTCTTTTCTGAGGGTTCGAGGTAGAACACGGGTCGGCGGCGGGATCACCCCCCTCCTGCCCCAGGGGAGCCTCCTGGGCCCCACCCACGTGTGGGCCCGAGTTCCGCTGCTGGAGGAGACCCTTGAAGCTGTAATGAGGGGGAGGGGCTTATTAGCTCAAGGTGCCAGCACTGCTTGGCTCTGGGGGGACCTCATGGGAGATGGCACCTCATGGTGGGAGCACTGTGAGGGGGCGACCCCATGGGGACACAGAGAGTCCCCAGTGGAGGGTGGCCGGCCAGGGCCCAGTGAGAACTCCCCTCCTCCCCTCCAAGGTCAGCACCCTAAGGTGGCCCCACCTCTAAAGGCTCCGCCCCTCCGACATCTCCACACTGGGGGCCTGGCTGCCCCCCATGAACCTTTAGGGGACACTCAACCATGTCCAAACCACAGCCCCCTTCCTCCCATTCTTCCCCTGGGTACTCACTGGGCCTTCGGGGCGTGTCCATGAAATGAGCTACTCACCCTCAGACCCGACTCCGAACCCGCCTTGGGCAGTCCTGCGGCCAGGGCACAGAGGGCGAGACTCCCCGATCTCGGAAAGAATCCCTTTCTTAGCGCTGGCAGCTACCCCTCCCTCTGCTGCCCGGGACCTCGACCCTCCTCAAATACATGGCCCATCAAGGGCCACCAGATAGCCTGTCGCGGATCCAGGATTGATAGCCGGCCAGCGGGCACCAGGACAGTCATCCTGTGGCTAATCCAGAAGTATTCATCACGGGCTGATGAAGACCATCGTAGGACCTCAGAGGACAGGGAGAACCTCACAGTAAAAACCAAGAGGTAGACCCCCCATTCCAGACTGCAGCTGTGGAGTGGTGCCCTGGTCTTGGCCAAGTGGGCACCTGGAAAGAGCCACCTTGGCCCGAGTCGGTGGCTGTGTTTGTGAAATCCTCTGCACACCAGGGAAGGTACCCGTTTATCATGATCCTTAAATTTCAAGGTCGGTTTTGGTGTTGAAAAGTTAAGATTTACTTTGGTTTTTGTTGTTTTGTTTTGCAATTTTTTTGTATAAGTCAAAAGTATGTGACATTTTTTTTTTTTTTTTTTTTTTGGTACTGGGGATTTAACCCAGGGGCAATTTACCACTGAGCTACATACATCCCCAGTCCTTATTTCGATTAGTTGTTGATGGACCTTTATTTTATGTATTTACATGTGGTGCTGAGGATCAAACCCAGGGCCTCACACATGCTAGGCGAGCGAGCGCTCTACCGCTGAGCCCCAGCCCCAGTCCCTGCTGGGATTAATCTTTAAAAATCTTTTAAGGGGCTGGGGTTGGGGCTCAGCGGTAGAGTGCTCACCTAGCATGTGTGAGGCCCTGGGTTCGATCCTCAGCACCACATAAAAATAGATAAAGGTATTGTGTCCATCTATGGCTAAATTTTTAAAAAATCTTTAAAAAAATTTTTAAAAACAGACAGGCATGATGGTGCATGCTAGTTATCCCAGCAGCTCAGGAGACTGAGACAGGAGGATCGCAAGTTCAAAGCCAGCCTCAGCAACTTAGCAAGGCCCTAAGCAACTTAACAAGACCCTGTCTAAATAAATAAATAAATAAATGACCCCTGTAATTGACACTTAATGATCATTCATATTTCGGGGTCCAATGCGATCGACCAGTACATGAATACGATGCTTGATGATTGGCTGTAAGAGCCGGTGACTCCAGCCTGGACTCCATCCCGGGGACGTCAGCTCCATCCCTCTGGGTGGTTCACACCCCCAAATCTTGGAGTCACCGCCCACTGCCTTGCTCTGCACCCACCCCAGAGCCTTTGACAGAACCTGTCGGCTGCGCCCTCCACCCCTCACCCGGCACCTGAGCAGTCTCACACTCTCCCTCCCACTGCGCCATGTCCTCTCCACTGGGATCTGGGAGTGTCACCTAACTGGTTTGTCCTCTTCCACTCCTGCCCCATGGTCTCGTGTCCACATGACCCTCAGGGAAACCCTTCTGGAACGTCCATCTGTTTCCTCAGCCCGTGGTCTAGAGCCACCGTTGGGGAAAACCCACAGCCGCTCAGTTGCCTGCAGGCCCTGTTGGCCGCCCCGCCCCGTCACCTCTGGGTGCCTCCTCTCCCTCCTGCTGGTTTGGGTGCCTTGGTGCTCCTTGGACCCGGGCCTGCTCCTGCCTCAGGGCTTTGCACCCCCCTTCTCTCTGCTTAGATTATCCCTCCCCCCACTGACTCTTCTTTCTCTCCCTGGCCTCCACGATAAAATCCCCATCGAGCAGGTGGAAGAACTTTCACAGCAGTAAGTCAGATCTGGTCCTCCACAAATTCTGTCCCCATGCAGCTAGAACCTGCACCTTCCGCCCCCGGCTGACCTCCCCCATTTCAAGTCAGGCCCCTGCCCCCCAGCCACAGGGGTCTCTTGGTCCAAGAATGGTCCTGCCTCAGGACCCTGACACCTGCTCGGGACAGCTCTTCCCTGAGGACTTCTCTCCTGTCTTTAAGGTCGACTCCAAGTGCCTCCTTTGCCTGTAGCTCAGCCATGGCTGCCCGACCTTCCCTTGTCTTATGAGTTGTGTGTCTGGACTGGAGAGGGGTCTCCCTGGACCGGCCACCTGCTGCCATCTCCCTCCCCCCTTGGACAGGAAGTCTACACATCCTGGTTCCTGTGTCCACTACTCAGGGAACATCTTCAGGGAACAGGAATTCTGAGACGATGGCCAAGACCTGGCTCCCCACCCACTTCTCCTGTGACTTAAGTCCCCTCCACGGGCTCATGTGCCCCCTCCAGTGTGAAAGCTACGCAAATACAACGCTGTGCTGACCAGGAGACGAGGACCAGGGGAGGTGGGCACGTGTCCAGCACAGACGCGATTTCTTTTTCTTTCTTTTTTTGTGGAGGGTACCAGGATGAACCCAGGGGCGCTTAATCACTGAACCACCTCCCCAGCCCTTTTTTATATTTTTTTTATCTAGAGACAGGGCCTCGCTGAGTTGCTTAGTGCCTCGCTGAGTTGCTGAGGCTGGCTTTGAACTCGAGACCCTCCTGCCTCAGCCTCCTGAGCTGCTGGGATTCCAGGTGTGCCCCACCGCGCCCGGCCAGGCGTAATTTTTTAAAATACTTTTGATCCATGGGTGACCGAATCCACGGACGTGGGACCCAGGGATGTGGAGGGCCGCTGTGGCATTCATGGGCACATTCTACAGCGTCAAGAAATAATGGAGACCAGATGATCCAGGATGTTGATTATGTCTGAAAGACACAGATGGAGATGGTAGATACAGAAAGATGAGTAGGTGATGGATCAGTGGATTCATAGGAAGACAGGTTATAGAAGATCGATAAAAAGATAGATGGCTAATCAGTGGATAGGCAGAAAGGTAGACAGAGACAGCAGAGATGGCCGACGCGGGGTGCGAAACTATCATCCCAGAGGCTGGGGAGGCCGAGGCAGGAGGATCGTGAGTTCAAAGCCAGCCTCAGCAACAGCGAGGCCCTAAGCAGCTCAGTGAGACCCTGTCTCTAAATAAAATACAGAAAGGGCTGGGGATGGGGCTCAGTGGTCGAGGGCCCCTGAGTTCAATCCCCAGTAACGAACCCTCCCCAAAAAGGTACCAGAGAAGATAGATCTGCAGAGGACAGAGAGGCCGGGCAGACAGGCGGCGATCAAGAGAAACGGTGGTGAGGGATGGATGGATGGATGGACGCCGGGTAGGGAGGGAGAAAGGGAGGGTGAGGACCACAGCGGAGGTTCATGGGGGGTGAGAGTGGGTGGGGGCCTTCTTTCTACCCGAGACAGTCCCCTTCCTCACGTGGTGATGACCGGGAGCCAGGCCCCCTGGGTTTTGTGGGCTCATTTCAGCTGTGGGGGACAGACGCCTTCACTTGACCTGACGTGGCGCTGAGGATGGCGCCCAAGGCCTCCCGAGTTAGGCGGGTGCTCCCTCTGAGCCCAGCCCCGGCCCCCGGCTTGGACCTCCCGCTGTCCCTTTTCAATGCCTGAGGACACACGGGTGCGCACACCGCGGTCCCCCACTTCAAGGGCGGTGGGTGGTGGTGGGTGACTTACTCTCCAGTCCACCCTCCCCAGTGGCCACCGCCCGGGTGAAAGTCCTGCCTCTCTTTTGCTTAAAATCTTGCACTGGCTCCCGGGTCCCTGCGGTAGAGGGCTGAGGTTCACGATGCTCTTCTTGGACACCCGGCACCGGGGCCAGGACTTCAACAAGCTCCACCACCAGACCCTCCCAGGTAGGGAATCCCCTCCTCATACAGAATGAGGAAGTTCAAAGAGAATAATCAACCACTCAGGGTTTTATAGTCTCATTCCAAAGCTCTTAAAATCGCCACGCAGAACTCAGAGGGGGAGCCTCTCAGCAGGAGTCTCAGAGTCGTTCTACTCTCCCTACACAGACAAGTGAGCCCAGAGAGGCAAAGCCACTTCCCCAAGGTCACACAGTCGGCTTGGCTGCAGACTCCACTGCACGCTGCTTGCTGAGGCCCCTCTCCTTCCGCTGCCTGGCCCTCTCTGTCCCCACTCACCTGTGGGAGGTGTCGCTCCGGCTTTGGAGACGTGGCAGGAGGGGAGCCAGCCCTGCCTGGAAGATGTCCTGAGCCGGGTGTGACACAGGAGGCAGACCTCGGCCGCCGCTGGGGAGCGCAGGACCTGGCAGAGCACACGGCCCCCTCCATCTCACCCCTGGGCTCGGTCCCTGGTGTCTCATTAGGACACCTGCTAATTGTCTGCTCTGTGCGCTGTCCCCGCTGGGCCGCCTCTTAGGGAAGGAGGGCCCCCTGGCCCATCCGGACTTTTCCCTCCACACCGGCTGAGCAGGGCGGCGGGGCGCTGGGCCTCTCTGGGGGACCTCCCTGCAGAGCACGGGTTCCGGGTGTTCCCTCAGCGCCCGGCACCTGGCCAAGCCCTGGGGCACATCTCTGGCTGTCCACGGCCGGAAGCAACAACTTCTTAACATTTATCTCTTTGTTATTGATTTAAAATTTTTTTAAAAATTATTTTATTAACTTATTGTTATTGGTGCTGAGAGTGGAACCAGGGCCTCACACATGCCAGGCCAGCGCTCGGCCCCTGGGCCCCGTCCCCAGCCCTGTTTTGTATTTAGAGACAGGGTCTCGCTGAGTTGCTGAGCGCCTCACTGATGCTGAGGCTGGCTTTGAACTCGAGATTCTCCTGTCTCAGCCTCCTGAGCTGCTGGGATCACAGGCGTGCACCACCGCACCCAGCCTCTATAACTATTTTTTATCCTTCATTCTATTCCAGAAAAAGCTTTCTCAAGCCTCAGGGCCTTTGCACATGTGGTCCGTCCACTTGGAACACCCCTATCCCTCCTGACAGATGAGCCCAAGCCCCGCTGC